ATAGCTAGTTGCCTGCTTCTCATCCCACTGGGCTCCATACCTGCCTCCTGTTCCCCGTCACCGATCTTTTGGAAAATATCTGAAGCTCCAAAACTCACACTGTGGAAGGTGGGCAGCCCATTCTACCCCTTGGCATCCCTAGGCTGCATGACACTATCTGTAAGCGGGTGCTATTTTTATGAATTGTTGTCACTCTGAAAATGTATTCATTCATTCATATTTAAGAAAATTTATGTGGCCATCTACTCACTATCAGTGATTCTGGGTGGCTTGCAAAACTGTGGTGCCAGCTTCTGATGTGAAGCCATGCAGCTTATGGATGCCACTTCTGCTGTCCACTTGTAGGGATGCTGAGCAGCTGCTCATGTTAGGGAAGGAGGGCAGGTCACTCCTCAACATCCTTAGGCTATGTGATTCTGTCTCAGAAACAGAAACAGATACCATTTTTGGAGTGGCTGCCATGAGAGGTCAAGAGGTGGAGCAGCCTCTCCTCTTTTCACCAATATGAACTATAGAGCTCCCCAGATCTTCCAAAAGTAACTGTGTGAATAGTGGGGCTTAGAAGAGGAGGATATAGGACCAAGTGAAGTGGGAAGCAGGCCCAAAGCCTGTGGAGACCCCAAAGAGTGGGAACTGGAGCGCAGATTGCCTCAGAGTGGGGGAGACCTTGGGACACCCAGGCCAGGTGGACATGAGCCTGTGCTAGGCCTTTCAGGTCCTTACCTCACCTATGCTGTGTTTAACAACTTGTATAATCACATAATACTGCATTGGGGAGAGCAGAGGTGAGCAAGCCATGACATGATTGCCTTGCTTAACAATACTCACAATTTGTGACTATAATGGGCAGGCTCCATTACAGTGATGATCCAAGGACTACCTGCATGGAAGATAATGAAATAAAATAGCACCTTTCATTTACTGCGCAGGACCTGAGATTTTGATAAACCCTCCCCATTTAGTATTATAACTGTTCCAAAAACAATAGGGAAGCTCTTTGTAGCTCTTTACTAAATGGTGACATTGCTAATTAATGTCATCTTCAGAGAAACAGGTGTAACAAATGGTAATAAAAGGGGAAATGGCGTATCTGTCTTATACATTGCTAACTGAAACCTGATCATGAATTGTTACTTTTTCTACAAGCAAATGAGCTATTACTCATTTTATTGAAATGGAAGGAAGAATTAATTGTGCAGTTATCTGAAAATTTTCATCTTATTCTCAGCTATGGCCCAGTTGAGGCTTTTGTTGAGCAGTGGTATTCATTTCTTTCCCATGCAAATACAGTAAATACTTATTTAACACAAGCCTAATTGAGCATTAACTAATTTGTTGGACAGTGGAATGTTACCTGTACTTGGCTTAAAAGTCTCATTTTAATTCTTCATTTTAGTTAATCATCCCATTCGCTTTTCCTGTGTTGGGTAACTCCTAAGCAATTCACTCAGTTATTGGTAACAGCAAAATTTGATGACACATTTCCATCCAAAAATAAAATATAACTTTATTTTTATGAATACAGACTACCCTGCAGTAAAGGAAATCACAAATTTGTCAAAAATGAAAAGGTTGCATATTCTGTAGATTGAAAGTTAAGATATATTGAGGCCTGTATAATAATGTTTTTTGTATGTATTACATAGTATATGTATTGTATAGTAATAGTAATGCATAGTAATACAAGAACTATAAAATAGTTGCTCATGATGTGGATAATTTTGTAGCAATAATGATAATCTACAGAAAAATAAGTGCCACATGTTCAAGTAAGTGATTATAAGGAATACTTGACTTACAACCATTCATTTAGCAACTGTTTGAAATTACAACAATGAAAAAAGCGTCTTACAACCAGTCCTCACATTTGTGACCATTGCAGCACCCCCAATGTTGCATGATCAAAATTCAGGAACTTGGCAACTGGCATGTAGTTAGAACCTTTGCAGCATCCTGGGATCATTTGATCACCATGTCAAGATTCCAACTGATGAACCCAGTGAAGTAAGCATAGTTGAGATGATGCAATCTATAATGCAAAACTTTATTGAGCACATCATTTTGGCACAGATGAAAGGAAAACCAGCTCTTGTTAATTGGTGCCAAAATCAGTATATTAAAAGTATCGAGTCTCCCTCCCCATTAATAGTGCAGGTCACATTGTCCAATGAAGTGTCAGACAATTATTATGAGAGAGCATTTTAGTTCTCTGTAAACAACTCTTGATCTTGGTTCTCATGGATTGGCATATATCTGTTGTTTGTGTGTTTCTCTCTGTTAGTTCCCACAGTGGCACCCACAAATGTGAGTGGAGGTGGAGGAAGCTGATCTGAACTTATCATCACATGGGAGGTAATTTTGTAAATCAATCTCAGTTCTTCAAGATAATGAATGGAACAAATAAGACAGCTCTAACAAAATCACTTTGTTGTGCTATTGTTAGCAATTTAGAGATGTAAACTAAGAGAAATCTTGTAAAGATATTTAGAATAAAATAGAGTAACAGAGTTAGAAGGGACCTTGGAGGTCTCCAACTCCCTGCTCAGGCAGGAAACCCTATACCATTTCAGACAAGTGATTGTCTAATCTCTTCTTAAAAACTTCCAGTGTTTGAGCATTCACAACTTATGGAGGCAAGTTGTTCCACTGGTTAAGTGTTCTAACTGTCAGGAAATTTCTCCTTAGTTCTAGGTTGCTTCTCTCCTTGATTAGTTTCCATTCATTGCTTCTTGTCCTGCCCTAAGGTGCTTTGGATAATAGCTTGACTCCCTCTTCTTTGTGGCAACTCCTGAGATATTGGAACACTGCTATCATGTCCCCCCTCGTCCTTCTCTTCATTAAACTAGACATACCCAATTCCAGCAACCATTCTTTATATGTTTTAGCCTCCAGTCCCCTGATAATTTTTGTTACTTCCACCCTTATTATTTGGAATATAATGCTGGTAGGTTGTATCTTGTCATACATAAAAAAAGGATAAGGCCTTTCAATATCAAGTATCATTGTATGAATGTTTAGATGGCAAATAGATGATTCATACATAAGACTCCAACCTAGGTTTATTAACTAGTAAGTTCCAATGAAATCAACATTTATTTCTAGCTGTCTGTGACTTTGGAGAATAGTAAAGACACAACTCAGCAAGGATAATCCAATGTATTTCCAAGCCCAAGTACTGATATTATCTCTTTTTTTTCATTCACATTATTTAGATTTGTTATGTCCCACTGCTAATCGAAAAATGTTCTGTAGAACATCTGAAAATTTAGAAAAAGAAACAAAGCTTAGGAGGACTGCATAGGGAACATGTCACCACATCTCCATGCTTCCATATCTCATTGGTGATTTTTACCTGTCAAAGTCAAATAAGCAACTCTATTGCTCTATGGTAAGTATGGCCTGCTTTCCAGCAAACAGGAATAATAATCTCCCAACTCCATACTGAATGTTCTCTATAGAATCTATGAAGTTTAGTTTTCAAGCTTGCCTTTAAATAGCATGAGCAGTTGAA